TAAGATATTAATGGTTATTGCTGAAAGAGTCTGTCAAGCTTTAGATAAGAATGGTGAAGTCTGGAGTATTGCTTTGGATATCTCAAAGGCATTAGACAGAGTCTGGCATGCTACTCTTCACAAGTTGAAAAGTTATGGTATTTCTGCACAAATTTTTGGTTTGATTCAATTTTTGTTTATCTCTGAGACAACAATTGTATTATGATTATTTTTTGTTATGATATAACAATTGTATTATGATTATTTATATTATTCGGGCTGGTTTCCTTATCTTCATTACCATATTCACAATGTTTCAGGTGATTGGAATTTCAAACTGAACCCTTTAATTTGTCCGCCAGGGTAGATTATTCTAGTTCCATGTGCCATGCCTCTTCCAGATGTCTCAATTATTTCCCTTTAACTCAACTCTCCAAGTTTTTTGGTTCACCACTGCTGTAGCCAACTCTTTGGATCTAGTCACTGTATCTAACCAACACCTTTATCCACGGGGCCATGTGTGTATGAATTTCTGGGACTTATAAACCTAGTGTCTCAGAAATCATTTTTATCAGTGCTCATATAACAATTTTTCCGTTATTATTAATGTATTTTTTTTTTACCAGAGCTTATAAACAATTTTTGCAATCTTGTATTGTTATTCATTGTTTTTCTCTAGCACTCCTTATTACTGGTTCCCACATTGTATTCATTTCTATGCTTGGTCAGCTCAGAAGATTTCTATGATTGTCCAGCTTAGGAGATTGCGGCTATGTGCTGATTCCTTAAGTTTTCATATTTTCCAGTGATCTTCTCTGTCTATTATTTCAACCTCATCCCACAGGAGGCGATGATCTCTTTTTCCCTCCATATATAGTCAGCTATATCTGATTTTTCTATTTCCCCTCATGTTACTGCTATGATATTCTTGCAGTCTTACCTTGAGGAGGCAGCCTGTTTCTCCTTTATATTTCTTACCACAGCTGCATAGGATGGCATACACACAATCCTTAGTCATATTCTCAACTATGGCGGGGGTCGGAAGAAGTGTTTGCAAAGTGTTGAACCACTTTTGAAGATTGTCCTGATGTTATATGGATCACAGATCTTTTGTATTTTCTCCGAAATGAAAGTTGGCTTGAATGGCCACTCTTCTAGATCATTTTGCATTAATGGAGGTGTCCTCCAGTGCTGTATCCTTGGACGTATGTTGTTCCTGAATCATAAGTTCTTAACTTAGTATCTATGCTGATGATACAATTATTTACTTAATGGTCTTAATGGTATGCCTGATTGGTTTGATATGGTCAAAATGGCAGATGATCTAAAAAAATGACCTACAATCTGATGTTAACTGCTCACTTAATCATCTGAGAGAACCCTTTTTGCATGACTGATGCTAACCTCCAAGAGAGTAACTCATTACACCTTCTTAGACAAATGTTTTCCACTGACATGAAGTGGAAAGATTATATTGAATCTATTGCTAGGTCGGCAGGGTGAGGAAAATTGGTTCACTATGTCATACTAGATAATTTTTCTCTCCAGAATCTATCTTACATATTTATAAGTCTACCATTCGTCCATGCTTTGAATATGGTGGCCACATCTGGTCTGGTGTTTCTGCTATATGTTTAGAAATTCTTGATAAAATCCAAAGAAGAATCTCCAATGTTATTGCTCCTGACCTGGCATCTAAATTTCATTAGCACCACCATAACATAGCTTTCCTGTACCTTTTCTATAAATAGTTTCATAGTAATTGTCCTGATTAAGGCATAATGCTGCATCACATTGAAACAAGTTCCTGTATGTATGATCCCTAGTGTTAAGCAATGTTGAGCTTAGTTAGCACCTAACTTGGGAATACCAGGTGCTGTAATCTTAGATGTGAAAGTGGTGTAATGGATAATAGCTCAGAATTATTAATCAGAGAGCCAAGTTCCAATTCCTGTTGAGTACATTATATTCACTTATGTGCAAATAACTTTGGAAAAGGTATGAATACACTTCTTCTCCCACCAGTAATTAGTAAGACTTGTCTCGCTAAACCATTATCTTTGAAAAAACAAAAGCTCTTACAATCTAAAAATATTTTCTGGCTTTAAATAACCTGAAAAGAGTTGATATGCTGAAAACAAATCAATGTTCTGATTAAGTTTCCTGATTGATACCTAGAAATCATTAATTTAAGCACACATCTGGTGTGGTGCTTCTGTTACATATTAAGATTCTTGATAAAATCCAAAGAAGAATCTACAATGTTATTGGTCCTGACTTGTCATCTCGAATTCAGTCACTGTTACACAACATGAATGTAGCTTCCCTATGCCATTTTTATAAATAATTTCAAGGTAATTGTTCTGATGAACTTTCCTCTATGGTACCTAGACTTTATGAATTTAAGTGCATTACTAGATTGGTGGCAAGACCTCATCATTTTACGGTTGAAATGGAACTAGATGTAACTCTTCCGGCCTTTTGCTTCCCAGTCAACTTTGTTCTTCAAAAATTTAAATGCAATTTCAATTGTTTTTTTCTGTTTTCTTAATTCCTATTCTTTTATTGTTCCCTCTCCTTAATAGTGTTTTATTTTTCTCATATTCTCTCACACTCAATAACTACTTTATTGCCTTGCTTAGGGTGAAATGATTAAAGAAATAATTAAAAAAATGACGATAGAGAAATCAGTATTATATTCCTAACATGAAGTTTTTATGTTAATAGAGTTTTTATATACTTGATATTATTACTTACCCTTCAATGTATTTTATTAATACTCCTTATTACCTGGATTTAAATATTTTTGTATTCTGTTCTATCTACATAAAAGTAAACATATTATAAATTTTATTTTAATTATAAATATTACATAAATACCATTTGACAACCACAGCATGATAGATTTCATGCAAATTGTTTATTATATAATAAAAGGACAATTCCCATATTGCTTCAATGAATTAGTTATAGTAAGTAAAATTCTGAAATGATATTGTTGAAAACCTCACTTGATTATTTCTGAGCTGGATGAAGTTCAGCTTAAAGACAGGCAACTATCTTAAAGAAAGAATTTGCAGTAAGAAAGTCCTATGGAAAAAATAAGACAAAGAATACAAATTTACCTGCAATTAGCATTCTTTAATTCCACATTTTCCCACAATTTTGATTCACATTCTTTAGTTCTGTATTTTTTCAGTATTTTTTTTAAGAATTCACAATCATTAATTTCACATTTTTTGCTATCTAATGAATGACTAGAGTTTATTTTTTTACTTGATCTAAAATTTGTAGATGTTACTCCTTTTATTTTCATGTTCATATTATTTCCTCAAAATTTGCACATCTTTCATGAAATTAGTCCCTTTTTAGAGGGTTCCCAAATGCTTAATCTTCTGCACATCTTGATTTAGAATACATGCGAAGAATTTTTGTTCTTATATTTTTTATTACAAAAAATCTGTGATTACATGGTTTTAACTTTTTATTCTTACATTCTGTTACTTTTGTAATTGCTTTCACACACCAGTATTGTGCTCTTGAAAATTTCTCTCACACAAATCTATAAGATTTTTTTCTTTCCCAACTACAGTTTCCAAAAACAAGAAGTTAGTAACTACCTGGTGTAAACATTTTTATGCATGTAGTCCAAATACTTCTGTAGTTCTTCCATGCAGGGATCACATCCTTGAAAATCCTTCTACATCTGAAACTCTTAAATTTTCTTAAAATATTCAACATATAAGAAGTCTGTGACTATATGGTTTTAACTATTTTTCCTAACATATTTGTAGTTGTTTTCCCATACAGAGTTCATGCCCTTAAAAATTTCTCTCATATATCACACAGTTTTTCCTCATTCCACTTCAATTTCTAAAAGCAAGAGGTCTGCAACTGCATGGTCTTAACTTTTTTGTAGACAAAACACTATTTGTTGTTCCACATGGGATCACACTTTGAATTTTTGTAGCTATACAACTTTCTGAATTGCCACTGAGCAGCTAACTATATGACTGAGTTTTTTTTATATTATGCAGTTATGTGTACTGGTAGGCATCTTATTTTTTGTAAAAGTTGTTTACACTTAATAAAGTATACTAAACACAACTGCCCTGGTCTTTGGAACAGGAGTAGAAGTTCATCCCATGTTTCTGGTTTCTGGCTCCTCCTAAAGTCTACTTCAACTCTATATTTATAACATTTCCACCTGAACTCTGAAATTTTATTCACTAATTAAATCTTGACCCCTTTAAGTCTAGAATTAACTATTTATTTTCATGTTATCTTGCCCTTTTTATGTTAATACAACTCCACACAGTAACCCTCTACATTGAGTGGACCTTGGGTAAACATTATTAAAAAAAAAAAAAAAAAAAAAAAAAATTAAAAATGTTTTCATGCCATAAAGAATATTCATTTAATATTTTATTCAGTTATTTCTTATCCTTGACCATTTTAGCAAAGATTTTGGAAAAGCTGGTCAAGTTCGCTTTGGGCTATGTATTGTTCTTGTTTTTAAACTAGGACACAGAAGTTTCTTAAATCATTTCATTGTTTGGTAATATCAGATGAAGAGCACATGCAAATGTGATATAGGAAATTGAATTTTCTGAAATCAAGATTGCTCATTCCCATTCATCATTTTCATCTATAATTCACATTCTTTTGTTCTATAATTTCAGCAATTTTAGAGGCTTGATTCCCATTCTTTAATTCTCCATTTTTTCTTTTTCACTATTTTGTTTGCTTAAGGTAGTCACTACTCAATATCTGATAAAAAAATGAAAAACACTTGAGTCTTTAAAAAAAAAAGGATATGTTTTATACAGTGATGATAACATCTAGGAATAAATAAAAAAAATTAGGCCAAAAATAAAAATCAATTTTAACATGTCTATGTTTTAAAAATAATTTTTCAAAGTTTCTGTTTTCATTACTACAATCTCTTAGAAATAAGGAAAAAACATTGAATAATTAACTCTTTTCATTCTACTTATATTTGTATATAACAAATTTCTTACCTTCACATGATGCACCAATTCTTCTGCATCAATATCTATTCGGCGCTGACATCTTTTGAAGCATAGAACAGATAGTCCAATATCAATGACTCCATGATATTTACCTTTTTGAATCTGAAATTATTCCATCATTAGAATTAATATTTAAAAAATATTGTAATAGTTTATTTGATACTTAAAATTTCTAAGTATTTATGCCAAATTACATAATTTCATTAAAAAATGCATAGCCACTAAAACATTTTTAGAAAACATATTAGAATAATATCAATAGTTACACAGCCCAGTTTAAATTACATTTCTCAATTAGAAACATTTTCAAGAACAAACAAAACAGTTTTAAAAAATTATGAATAGAAGGTTTCATGTTTACTTCATAATCAACAACAGAAAAAGTAATTTTAATGACTTTTTTTTTAAGAATTTGTTATGTAAAGTTTGTTGAAAAATTAACTTGGAGCAAAAATGTTTTGCATAATGAATTATTTCTATACAATAAAACCAAATAAATGTACAAAGACTAATTGTATAAGCTACTTTAAATAAAATCATGGCCCAGAAAAAATTAACACACATACTAAATGAGAAAAGAAAGAGGTTTAGTGAAACTTATTTCTTTGCATTTATAGAAGTCAACAAAAGTATCTACATATGCATTTAGACTGAAAGAAAAACTGCTTAAAAAATGAATTTAACAAAGATAAAAAAAATAGTGAAAATTTTGGTGGAAAGAATTAAAGAAAGTAAATAAAAAAGTATAAGATTAAATGAGCAAATTGTTAATACACTTTGGTTTCATTTAGACTTTAGATGATAATTGCTATAGCAGGATGTCAATCAGAGGTTAAGTAGTTATTGATTATATGTAGTGGAAATTTCACACAAACTTAAAAAACAAGATTCTATTAATGGAAGTCATTGAAAAAATTTTTCCTGAAGAATCTATAGTTAAAAAAAATAAAATATTTCAAAATTTTCCCTAACTGAATCAATATTTAAAAAATTTTTTAACACATTTAAAGTAAAAACCAAATCCTTAATTTTAAAGTAGCAGTTAACATAAATTTAAATGATCAAATCTAATTTTGTTACCAGAATCTCATTATTTTACATAATGAGAACAATGAAAGTCATTTTATAAATAATAATCTCTATGAGTAATAATGGGAGGCAAGTCACACAGAATTGAATAAAATATGAATTTATCATAAACACTCAAGATTTAATCAATGTCAACTTTACTATACAAAGCATAAATTACACTGACTGAAAAAATATTGTTATAGGAATTATATATTATGGTAGATTTCACATACACACATTTGTTTTGGTTTAAAGTGTAGTTATATACTCCAATTGTATGTGTTGAAGTCAAATTTTATCTACTTAGCTGACAAATTGTTCTGAGTTCTATAGATGATAAATGTAAAGGAGTTTGTAGCAGTTCAGTTGATGTTACTGTTTCCATCATATGACTTCCCTGTAGCTAGGTTACAGTTTTTGTAGTATTACTGAACACCATATTTTGAGTTACTAACAGCTTTTTTCACCAGGGACTCAACTTTGCAGAAAAGCTCAACTGCTCCCATCATGATAGATGTCTATTCATTGCTGCTTATAATAAATGCAAACAAGTCCTTGAAAGAGATAAGTCACTGTTTGCTGAGAGAATGAGGCACTATGTTGTATTTAAAAATTTTGTCTCTCAGAATTACTGTAATATTAAATAAGTGTAAGTTCTCTATTCCTTCTCTCCTCAATCAATTTAAGGTGTAAACGTCTTCTGCTGATGAAGCTGAATGAGTCATTCGTAAATTCTCCTTGAACTCTACTCTTGAATCATCTGGAGTATCCCCACCTAACTTCCCACCTAGAATTGTTGAGTGATATACATATAACCCCTTCTATGGTTTCTCCTATCATCTCTAACCTGGGTCTCCTAAAGTCTAGATCATGTAGACCTGATGGGGTCATGTAATAGTCATTAAGAAATGTGCTCTCAAACTGGCTCCTGTTCTCTCTAAACTGTATAGTAAGTGCCTTACCACCTCTTGCTTTCCTGTCTGCTGGAAGTCCTCATCTGTTCTTCCAGTTTTTAAGAACGTGAGTGAGCCAAGACTTTCAACTATCAGCCTATTAGCCTTCTGTCTCTTTTGTGAAAACTCCTACAGGCCCTAATCAATGCTGAATTGGTTAAGCATCTCACATGCAGGGCCTTTTTTTTAGACAAGCAATATGGCTCTTGTTTCTTCAGGTCAACTGCTGATGTACTGACGATAATAGTGAAAAGTGTCTATCAAGTTCTAAATAAGAATGGTGAAGCCTGGGCCGTAGCTTTGGACATCTCAAAAGCTTTTGACAGGATTTGGCATGCAGGTCTTCTCCACAAGCTGAAAAGTTACAGTGTTTCAGGCCAAAATTTTGGACTGATCCAATCTTTCCTATTGAATAGTGAAATAAAAGTAAACCTGAATGGCCATTCTTCTAGTTCTTTCATACTAATGCAGGTGTCACCAAGGGCTCCATTCTTGATCCTACTTTCGTTTTTAATTTTCATTAATAACCTCCCTGATAGCATCAGCTCTCAAATTGGTATCAATGCTGATGGCATAACCATTTACTCCTGTTTCAATATTAAGTCTGATCAGTTTAATAAGGTCAAAATGACAGCTGATATCCAAAACAAACTTCACTCTGTTGTTAACTTGGGCAAAGGATGGTTTGTTAATTTTAATTCCTCCAAAACTAAACTCCTCTCTATTAATCATCTGAGAAAACCCTCTCTGCTTTCCATCAGTATGGCTGATGCTGACCTCCAGGAGAGTGACTCATTGCATCTTCTTGAGCTAATATTCTTGGTTGACATAAAGTGGAAAAACTATATTGAATCCATTGCTAGGTCAACTGCTAAGAAAGTTGGTTGACTGTGTTGTGCTAAGACAATTTTTTTTCTCCAGAATCTATCTTACATATTTATAAGTCCATGCTTAGAATATTGGTGCCCTATATAGTCCAGTGCTCCTGTTATTTATCTAGAGCTCCTTGATAAAATCTGAAGAAGAATCAGCAATATTGGCCTCAGTCACATTCCCATCACTGTAAGGTTGCCTTCCTTTGTCTTTTTTATAAATACTTTCATGGTAATTGTTCAAATGGACTCTTTACTATGGCGCCTAAACTTTTTGAATTTAAATGCATTACTAGACTGGCAACGAAGTCTAATTAATTTACAGTTGAGTTAGCTACATGTAACTGTAAATTCTATGTTAACAGTTTCTTTTCTGGCACTTCTCCCAACTCCATGCTTTCCAGCCAACTTTAATCTGCAAAAATTTAAATGCAATGGTAATCACTATCTCCTTAGCATGTTTCTGTTCCTAACTATTTCACACCTAGTAGCCCCTAGTGTTTCAGTGGCTTTACTGCATAGCATGGAGTGAACTCGAGTATAACAAAAAATAAAATAAAAAAAACTATGTACAGTATTTGTCTTGTCTGAAAGAAATAGGTTTCTTTTTCAGATCAGCTTCATTTATTTAACTTTTAATGAGTAACATTAAATGTTAAATATTAGGATCCAGCTACATTGTTTCCAATTTTGCTTTTGTCTGATATAAACATTATATGAATAATTCAGTAATGTCTTGTTCTACTCAAAATCATTTTAAAAAGATAAATTTTCTTTTGTAAGGTAAAAGATAAAGATTTGCCTTTTACAATTAGAAAAAGAGAGACTGGACACTTATAAAGGTCCTCTTTATAAATTAAAAAAACACTTAACTTTTATAATTAAGTGATAGCATATAAAACTTAAGTTATTTGTATTAATAGTTATAAAACCTAGCTAATAAATATAGTATATTTACACTCTTACATATTTGAATATTTTTCAAGAACATTTTAGAACCATGCGTTATCATCCCTACTTGTTGTCAACCCAGTTTTTAAATATGAACAAATACTTTGTTAACCAAAAAATTAAAGTATTTGCAAATATATGCAAGTTGTTCAAAAATTGATATGGCAACTCAATTCCACAATAAAATAAACAAATCGCAAGTTCAAACTTGAAGATTCAGGGCAAGAAATTTCAAAATCATGAATTGCAGGTCTAATGTCACAAATCTCAATACACATAAATGGGCAGAAATCCAACACAAGATGACAGATGAGAAAATAATAAAAAAAAAAACAACTCCCCAATTATTAACAGAACAATTTTTTCATTGGTTGAAAGGTGGGAGAGGACACACAATATTAGCATATCTGAGATGCATTTATGACAACACCTGTGACTGACTTGTTTCTATTTTGGTTATTTTGTCTTTGGCATATTGTACAGAACATGTGCCCTTTTTCTTGGTAAGTAACATTCTCATTCACTACACTTCCTTCCCTGATCTCATGATCATACTGGTGACAACCAGGGGCAGGTCTCTTAAGCCTTATGCTTCTTCTCAAAGGAACAACTACAGTCTTCTCACCTGATGAATTGCCTCCCAAAGGGAGATCAGACATATTTCCAATAGGCTGAGCATAGTTTTCTTCCAAGGACATACTTGAAACATCTCTTATTTTGACCAGTCCCTCACATCATTAGAGGACTCACTGCCAACATCACTTGTTGATGTGTTTGAACTGACAAAGGGGTGCAGATTGCTCCCATGATATGGCATCACATCAACACAAATTGGGCAAGGGCTTCTAATCTCTGTGACGTGTCCCACTTGATATTGAATTATACATTGGTTTTGAGGGGGGTTTTACCCACACACAGACCATAATCCATATATCAATCATCCCTGTTCTTGTTTTGGTGGAGGTGTTTTCAAAATAACTTGTGCTCAGACTCTATAATGGTAAATGCCATTGGCGGGCATGGTGGAAAGTGACACGTCATCTTTGGGTTTAACGTTGAGCCAAAATATGGCTTCCATCACTGAGTATTATTACCTTGTGGTAATTTGCTTTATGCTTTGGTGACAACATTCAACTATCCCATTACCAGAGGGGATGTGCATGCAGCAGAAATGGATATGGATTCCCCAACTGTCCAAAAATTCCTTGAATGGTTTACTATGGAAAGCAGTGTCATTGTTGGTAAGAAGTTCAGCAGGAGGTCCCTGTTCAGAAAGTAGTGCCTCTAAATAGTTGATGATGCTGGTTGAATCTTGTTGATGCAGTTGTCACCAGATTGTGAATAGAATGGGTGCACAGTCAGTGTCAGGTAATGTTTATCATCGTGATGAGTGATGTCCATCTCAATCCGGGTTCACACATTGCTAATGTCTAACTTTCCTCTCGGCCATCATACTGGTGATGGGTCAATGGACTGACACTCTACATTCTCTGACTATGGCCTTAACCACTGCTTTGGACACTGCTGGATCAATCTGCCTTGTGAAGTACAGGGTCCTTTTAATGCCAGGATGCACACTTTGACAGTATACTGAACCTAACTTATCTGAGCTGCATGTGTTCACTGATACTTTCACTGGTTCTGTCTCCTTCCTCACTGTTGAGCCATCTCTGTGGTACCCTTGTCAGCTTGGTTCTGGTTGTATTTCACTATCTTTATGTCCACTGATAAGTCATATTCACTGACCAGTTTTTCCATGATGCTGAGCCTCTTCTGAATGAGCATCTTGCTTGAGGCCTTTGTGTGTATTCTGACCTTTCTGATAAGGGTGGCAGATATCCATCCATAAACACATGCAGAGTCCATGAATAAGTGCAACTTTTTTGCCTTCCATTGAAATGGTATTTTAACACCCCTGAATATGGCGTCCAACTCAGCTATGTTTATATGCTGAACATCCTTTTTGGGATATAACTAGCATGCATCCTCCACTATATCCCCATTTAACTCAAGGGACATTCCAGTTGCAAGGGAGCTTGCATTGACCAATACTTCAAACTCATGTCTGTTGACATACCACTTGCCTCACACAGGGTCGTCTTGGAGTACTCTGGTAATGACATCCATAATCATGTTGTTGAGGGGGTTGTCTGTTACTTCATCATCCCAGCTGGACATAACCTCATTTGCTTTGCATTTGATGAAGGCAGTTGCAATATGGAGCCAGCCACAAACAGGTGAGTGTCCTACTAATTTTCTGCATTGTGAAAATATTTTTTGCAAAGTCAAAATCTTGGGTTCTTTCAGTACTTCACTCCCGTTTCTAGTACAATGTGTTCTGTCCCCACCCCACAAAAAAAAAAAAACAAACTTACAAGCCAAGTACTCAGTATTGTCTTCCAGTAGTTCTGGGTCTTTTCATGTTAATCCAAAATCAGCAAGATGTTGTCTTATACGTGTTGCCGATGTCACATATTAATTGACATAGATATCATCAATATTGGCTGAAATGGCCTGGAGAATGGTCTCATCTTTTGCCAAATGATATTCACAATGGCTTTCATGATAGCCAATGTCATATTGAGCCCAAATCTCATTCTTGTCAGGCAGTACCTCTGCCCCTTATAAATGACGGTTTGAAAGGGCCATAGCGATTGATGCAAATGTATCTGTAGGTACAGCTTACAAAGATCAAGCATGGAAATATTGGGTCCTTTCCTCTACCATTCTCTCAGTTTTTCAGCACAAACATCAGCATGAGCCATGTATGTGTCAACATACTTGTTTAGCTCACAGTAGTCTAACACTGGGTGGACCTTTCCTTTATTCCTTTGAACCACCACCATTAATGGGATCAGGCCTTTTTTGGAGTAAGGTGTCAGCCACCCGTCATCTATCCATGCCTGATATTCACCCATTTTTGTAATGTGAACACTGCCCAACCTGTCAAATCGGTCAAGTAAAGGTCTACAGTTTCACCTGATGGCAGTTTTCAAGCTTTGAACTGCTTACAAGCAAACTAATACAATTAGAACTAATACGATACAATATTTATCCTTTACCAATTTATAAAGAAATAAATGTGAAAACAATTTTTATAGGTTTATAAACATTTACTAAATTATTAAAATATGAAGTAAATCCTTATTATTTATCATTTTATAAAGTTTGAATCAATTGAGAATTAGCCAATGTTTTGCTAACCATTCCAATAAATAACATAATAAATAGTGTAAATAAACTATCTAATAAATAAATAATGTTTATTATTTTTGTTGTCAACTCTCAAGAACAAAGAAAATGTTTCAAAATGTTTTCAAAATCAATTCACTTTCATATGTTTAGGTTTTATTATAATCACTTTTTAAAACAATCATTGCTGAAGAGTAAAGGTAGTTAAAAAACCAGTGTCATAGGGAAAAAAACCTGTCCTTTTGACACTATGTTTTATTGTAGGCAATAATCCTAGATTACTTTTGCAGAAAATAATGCAGTTGCAAAATTACTTAAATACTGCTGTCATTTTGACAGTATGAGTAAACTAGTTATAATATAAAATTGTACAAACCTCATTGGGTGATTTTGCATAAACCAAAATTCCTTTATCCAACACAAAGTATCTCTGTAAAATAAAATAACTTCTTTAAATATAAAAAATTAGAAATTACTATGTCAAATAAAAATGAATTTGTTAAAAAGCAAAGTTAAACAAAAAGTAATTGATGCATCAGTAAAATTGGCTCATAAAAACTATTCGCATTCAAATTTCTATTTGTGTTAAAGAAAGAAAGATTAGGACAAATTATATAGAGGTAAGATTAACACAACAGAATTAAAATGTGCAGAGTATAGGCTAGGAAGAGATTAAATAGATTAGGACTCTCATTTCATCCTTGTTATACTCCTGTGGAGTTTTTAAATGTTTTCATATCGGGGGTCCTTGTCAGAGATGTGAATGGATATAGTTCAGATCTAGACATTCAGTTGAGTCAAAGTTTAAGTGGTTTCTAATGAATGAAAAGTCTCTATTGATATGGTTATATGCTGCTGTGAAGTTAACAAAGCAAATGGAGAAGTATGCAATTTCTGAGATGACATATATACCATCATTACACCCCTTACCAGAACAAAAGCTAAATTGGGTTTTGAGGAGTTGACTTTCATAGAATGGTGAGATCCTAATTAATACAATGTCCATTAGTATTTTCCTCACAATGGATCCAATTGCAATATCTCTGTACATGTGAGAGTCTTGAAGATTACTTTTTTGTTTCCATGGTGCATTAATGCATGATTCACCAAACTTTTGGGGGATGTGCTTATGATTCTAGATTTAATTTATGAAATTAAGAAACTTACTTTAAAATTTGGGAAGAAGGCATGCAATTTTCAAAAGTTGAACCTCAATATCAAGTGATGCTTTATTATACATATGCTGTTTTTATAGCTTTCTTTACTTACAAAAGAAGATATATTAGTTCTGGGATTGCTATCAGTAACAGAGAAAATATGCATGGAATAATTTGAGGAAATGGCTGTAAGAATGTCAACATTATAGCCAACCAATGTAGTCTAGATACATTAGATAACACCTTTATACTTTGGCTTCATGAGAAAGATGTGCAAGCACCGTTGGACCACATGAAATTAATAATACATTTATTACAAAGGATACAACAGCCAAAATGTAAGTAAACAAACAAGATGAGCATGCTGGTCCAAATAAAAAAGCATATAATAAAAATTTTAAGTATGAAAAACTAATAATAAAATAATTCAAGAAAACAAGTTTCTCAAGTCCTGTAGTGGTTAATGCTCTTTCTAGTATTGATGGAAGATTCCTTTCTTGCTATTCATTTGGAGTAGTGTGAATATCAGCAACTTGATTATGTTATTATTTCCTCAATTGATATGATCTATGTTATCTGCTACATATCTTTGTGATTCTCTAGTGCTAATCCACAAGGTTTGAGGAGGGATGGACATTGCTGAGTATTGCATATTTCACTTACTCAAAGCCATTTTTAACCACTGATAAGAGAAAGTGGTTGTATACAGCTGACTGCTTAGATATTTCTGAACAAATTTGGCACCATGCATAGCATCCATATGAAAGTCTCTTGTAATGACATAAACAAAATGGACTTGCCCTATATTGCATAGAGTCAAGTGAATACTAATAAGTCAGTAATCACTCAATATGAAAGTAGAACTTGTATGTCACTGACTAGAAGACATCAACAATATGACATCACCAGTACAATCTCTAACACAGTTGGATGAGCTGGAATTTGTAGAAACACGGATTTGTTGTCTTGCTGCCCAGGTATAGGACAAAAAGTTAGAAGTCCACAAAGTCTTAGAGTGTGAAACTATCACTAAAAAAAGAAATTTTTATATACATATGTGATAAATTTCATCATCTTAAGATGATGAAGGAAATAATTCCAAGCTATATACTGGCAATTCTTTTAGTACAAAATAGAGTTTAAGAAATTGTATTTCTTAAAATTTTCTTTCTTCCTTCATTGTTTTACTTAAAAAAAAAAAAAAAAAAAAAAAATCACAAAAAACTATGCAGGAAATACATTAAAATATATCATTGTTCATAATTTGCTGATAAGATTATTGTATGACTTATTCATGTATTATTAAATTTAACATTGTAATATTTGCAGTTCTATTAACAAAAAATGTTCAAGTTTGTGCTTCATGATCCATTATAGTCTTAATGAAAAGCCAACTCTCTGTAACATTAAATATTCAATTTTTGTATAAAACTAGTATCAAAAAAGAAATTCTGAATTTACCTTATGCCAACCTTTTAGAGGCCATTTTCTTTTTTTCATTAAATAACCCTGATATTTGTCTGGTTTCTCTTCACACCGTTCTCCCTCTTTTAAGCCATTGATTATTTCCCATTCTTGTATAGCTTTGATTTTCTTTAGGCTCCGAGGACTGGGTTTAGGTGTTTGGATCAAATTTCCTGAAACTGTGTTGACATCCACATGGGAGCCAGACAGGGAGTTACTTTCATCACTGTCATCCTACAAAAAAAGAAAAAGAAAAAGAAAAAAAAGAAAACATTCTTAAGTCTATAGACAAATTTTCTTTCAAATAAAAAAAATACTTGGAAAAACAAGAAAATAGTCCTGTTCATTGGTATTATATTAGCATGTAATCTATGGGAATCAATCAATATCATCCTCAACATTAAATTTTAAATCTTGTACAGTTTATCTAACAATATTCATCACCATTTTTATTTGAAAAAAATATTAGTAAACATAGGAAAATTAGCATAAATGAACTTCTTATCAAAACATAGTAAATTTAAGAATATAATGATGTTATTGAGCTTGTACATTTTCTTAAAAGAGAACCTGAAGAACAACTTAAAAAAGCAATATATTTTAATCATACTAATAGGTATATTTACAAGTGCTTGTTTTTATTTTTAGGTACATATTCTTATCAATCACAATTTTTTAATTAATTAATTAAAATTATTAAAATGAATACTTAAAATAAGTCAATAACTAAAAAAGTAAAGCAAAATGTTGTATAGCTGTTTCACCAATTTTTAAATATAACTAAAAAGAGATAAAAAGTGATTCATGATTAGATGAGGCAGTAAGCAATGTGGGTAAGCAGTACATATGTTACTATTAACAACTGCTTTGAAGTTAATTCATTCACTAATTCTAACACTATTTGGGTTGCTGGTAATTAATAATAAACGCTTTGAATATCAAACAATGATCAAGATATTGATAAATAAACTACCATGAAAAGGATTAAATAGATACCAGGACAATTCAGCACCAGAAAAATATCTCTTTTTTTTTTTATAACTGAATAAAAGTAATTTATTAAGGACTAAAACTTTAATTAGTGAATATTTTTATTAAAATAAGGCATTTGAAAAGGCATTATGTAAAATACGAACCAGTTTTTTGTCTATAGAAAATAAGAATTTCAATTTAAAAAATAAATTACATTATGATTTACTTTATTAAAAACTGCTTCATTTTGTTTTGCACTTTTCGATTTACATTATAAAAAAATAATTAAAAACAAGTGTGTTTTATTAAGTTATTTTTTATATGTCAGTCTACTTTATTAAAAAAATAAATTTCTTTACAATTTACTTTATTTAAATAATTAAAAACAAAAAACTGGTTCATATTTTACATAATGCCTTTTCAAATATCTTATGTGAAGAAAAATGTTCACTAATGAAGGTTTTAATCCTTAATAAATTGCTTTTATTCGGTTATAAAAAGTTATGTTTTTCTAGTCCTAAGTTGTCTTGGTGTTCAGTCTGCGGTGTTGAGTTGTCCCTTCCCATCATAAATATTGCAACAAGATAGGATTTTAGTTCCATAATTTCTCTTTAAAATTACATAACTTTTAAGAGGAAACAATTTTTAACATGTTGATTTTTTTTTGTTAATGTCTGCTTTTAAAATTTTAAAACACCTTTTCAATTTCAAATTTGCAAAACTAAAAGTCAATTTTGCTACACTGAAATTCAAAATCAATTCTAAATTTCAAATGAAATCACCTTAATAGATTATAAATTTGTCTATAGTTTTAAGTTATATAACTCAGTAGATAAGAGATAAAAACAGAAATACACTGCAATACTCCTTTACTTGACTAGGCTGCTTCACAAGTGCAGAAATGATGTCATGGTTTTGGGAAAAAAAAACACTCACCCAATTGGTGCTTCCATGCTTAAGACCAAGTGCTTGTATTGATTTAATAAACATGGAAGCAAACCAAGTGACATTTGACATTATGACTGAAACAAGAAAGCATGATCCTTATGTTAAGGCATTTGAAAAGGTACAGCAACATGAATTGCAAGCCTATGAAAAAGGATAGATGTGTATACAATAGAATATGCCAGTGAGATGAAACATAAAATGAGTGGTAATCTCATTGCTCAATGAGCTGTGTAAAAGAAGATACAAAGTGACAAAGAGATCTTATAAAATTTTTGACTTAAAAATTACCTTGAATAACAAATTGGAGAAGCATCTGATATTACATTGACTGAACTGATTAAAATAATTTTCATTTGATGTTATGTCTGCCCAAAGCATCAGTAAAAACATTGGACAGGATGTCATAGAGTAAATTAGATTTGAATCACAGGTTACCAATTTCATAACAAATAAAACTTCCTATTTATCAAAGCATATATGAATTTCTTTAGTGTAAGTGTTACTTTCATCTGGATTGATGAAATGAACATCAATATTCACTGCAACCATTCAATTGGGAGATCCTATAAAAGCATTGGCACAGATAAATGACTATTTCAAAAGGTTCAAACTTAAATAATATAGGAGCAATGTTTACTTTTGAGTTTTTTACTTGTAAATCTAAAAGGGGTGATTTTAAAAGCAAACATTTTTATGCGTGATTTTGAGAATTGGTCACTCTCCTATCAGTCACAAAAGGAAATTATGTGCAATAATGCCCAATTCATTTGCAAGATGAAATTGCACTTGAAGCAACAATGGCTTTGCAATTTGGTTCTGACAGACCTTTTACAGTAAGGATATTATACCTTGCTATTAATTCACCAATGAATAATCCTACTAAGTCATTATAACATGCTGTGAACTCTAAAGTCATAGCTGAAATGCTGGTACATCAAGAGATCCTCAATGGGTTTAGATACTAATTATTAACAGTTACCAATTTAGGATTTTAGATGAAATAATTGGAACTGTAATGACTACCTGGTATGCACAATTCAAATTAACACAGCATATTAATATGTATCTAAAAGAGAACTTGAACATAAAGACATGTGATGTTTCATGACAATGCCTTGTTGATTGATTTTTCATATCAGTTTATCGCTTGATCATTTCTTTGTTCTTGCTTCTCTAATGCCCTGGGCATTAGACATTGTGATACATATTCTAATGCATCATTTTGAAATTTATTTTGGCAAATTTGAAGTTTATTTTGGCCAATTCAGTTAAAAAGGTGTAGAATGAAAAATATTAATAATATTAATAATAACAGTTAACACTAATCACTTTAATATTGGAAAATGTTTTATAGAAAATCTAGTGTTTTCACATTTTTCAATACAATAAGATAGTTTACTATACACAAACTGATAATCTAAATCATAATAGCTAAAATACCATAAATGCTTTTTAAAAACTTTTTAAAATCTTTTTCCACATTACTCTTTTTAAACCCTTTTCAGTATAAATGCCCAAAATGTTAATATTATTTAAAAATGTAAACCAATTTACAGTCAATTTTATATTTAGCTTAAATTTTAAGGAAATTGTAACATTTAACATTGATCTCTTGATTTTGTTAAAAATTTGCTAAATTTTGGAAATTAAAAACATAAAATACATTTTATAATCCACTATGCAAAAAGACTTAAATTTTGACTAATTTCTTGATTTTCTTTCCTCATTTATTCGTCTTATGACTTCAATGAACAATGAATTTATGTTTCCTTATGTTTTTGGAACAAAGATTTTAACAAATTCTTTGATTATTAAAATTAATAGCAAGAATTCAAAGAATTATCATCAGGCATGCTTTTAAAAATATATCTCAGAATATGGGAGCACAGAAATAGTTTATCTCAGAATTTCAAAAACAACTTAAAAGTATCACTATTACTCCTACAACTAGGTAATCAACAGTGTGGAATAATGTCAGAGGAATGAAAACCCCCACCTAATCATAACTTTCTTCATTGGTCAAGATGAGCTCTTGAAGCATACATTGTGAGTTCAAATCTTCTTTTGAATTCTCTAAGTTAAATGTATTGGACAAAAATGTTGTGATAAAACACAAAAAAATTAAAACTTAATAAAAATATATAATATGAATTTCTTAATCTGAATAGATGATAGCAAGGAAATTTATGTAAAGATAAAAGCATTTAAAGTTTAAATTTGCTAAATTCCAATTTTCAAATACTAGCATATGTAAAAATATATAAAATATAGTACATTCAAAACCTATCCCCTGGAGATCAAGAAAGGAAAATAAAAATCTTTAATAGCATACAAAAAATGTTAAGTTTTTACTATCATTATGATAGAGTCAAAGTTTTTTGCAATATTGCTTGAGAAAAATAATATTATGAGAATTTTAACCAACTTCAAATTCTAAGTAACAATGTAGTTATAACTAACATGAGTGCTTAAATTGGAATACATTGGCATTTTTTAAATTGCTGCAACTTACAAATACAAGAGAAAGGTCACGTCAATCCAAAATTGTGTGGTTTTAATTTCTCAAGTTGATTTCAGTAAAATCAAATATATAGAATTAAGAATATCATTGAAAGTGTGATGAACCAACACAGAATGTATATAAAATATAAATTTAAGTATTTAAATTTCTGAAAATGGATGAACATTCAGCATATTAAGCCACATTGCCTGTATTTAAATACAGGAAATACAAAATAGAAAAAGCATTTCAATAGTACATTTTGTGGAAAAAGACAAAGTTAGAATATTCAAAATAGAAAATAAAATTTCAAGTGCTGGAAATCAGCTTGCTGGAAATCAGCCTGCTGAAAGGTGAAAAGAAAATTTTAAATGTGAATTAAGTAACAAAATGTAAAATAAAAGTAACTGTAATGTAAAAAGTATAAAGTTATGATTTGCATATAATGAATCTTTCTTCACAATATATCAGACACAGACATACATGAAACAAGATGTATAAAAGTCTTGCTTCCATATCTCTCAATAAAGTAAAATATTTTATTATACACAAACTGTCAATCTAAATCACATAACAGTAATAATAATTATTATTAGAGCCCAGAACATCAGGCAAAATGACATACTGAACATACCCAATGTTATTTTATTAAAGAACATTGTGGAAATATATATCTTTTTTTTTTCATTAGTTATACCTACCCTTTAATTACATCATGAACACTTAAATTTGGTGTGGGAAATGATGGTAAAATCTTCTTACAGTTTTAAAAAGAAAAAAAAACCATGAAAATGTTATTTCAGCAAAAAATTTA